TGGTGATGGCGCTCTTAAGCGCGGTTGTGCAATATTTTGTTTTGCTTTTTGCGGGCGTTGCGGGAAGCGTCCCTGAAGTAAGTTCGGAGGAGGAAGGAGCACGCTGGCCTTGCTCTGGCAACTGAGGAATCTTTGGCATTGTTGAGAGCAAAATTTCCTGACGCACGGCAATGAACGCAAGTCTAGAGTCGAGAATTGCGGCTGGTTGTCCAGGTTGCAGCTGAGTCATTGCAAGTGTTGATAAACGACTCCATGGCCCGACAAGAAGCTGACCAATGCGAGCGGGCAAGGGCTCAAGATCCAGCGGGGGTGGGGGAATTGAGCGTCAAGACCCCAATGCTTTGCCAAGGATGCTTCCGAGCTGTGTCCCAAAGGTGCTTCTGTTATTCCCACTATTGCTGTTTCCTTTGTTTGTGCGCGTTGAGAAGGGTGGGCTGAATCGTTTTCAATGCCGGGGTACTGCTTATCCCCGGCGCATCGCACTCCAACGCAAGGTTGCCCTGCAAAGCTGCTGTTCGGTCTGAATGTCGCAGCGGACCGGAGTTGACCCTGACAAGCAATTTTTGATTAGGAGGCTTGCCGCCCCAAGTTAAAATAGATTTGGCGACGGCCTGCGGGGCGCAGTACCCCTGCGTGGAAGAAGCCAACAAGCGCAGCGTAATTGCGGCCATGACGCTGCCCCGGTTGTCGTGCGAAAGTGACTTCAGCGGAGAATGCCCTGCAGGTGTGTTGGTTGAACTTTGCACGTTTCTTCGCAGCGCCTATTCCAATTGGAAGGGTGGACATCAGAGACCAGGCTTGGGTATTGCGTAGCCCCGTCTAGCTACACAGGGAGGTGCGGTGTCCGCATCAAGTTGCGGCGTGCGTCAGAGCTTCAAAAGAAGATCGTAAGCGATGTTTGTGGAGCGGTGTGGCCCTGCAAAAGGATCTGAGGTGCAAGACTTGAGCGTAGAGCAGCAGCCAAGCCTGCTGGTCACGTTAAACGTGTCAGATTCGGGTGCGCTTCAGCTTTCTGTAAAAGGCGTGTAGGCGTGGGTGTGTGGTCGGTTGCTACACAATGTCGAGACGCAAGCCTGCCTGCGTGCGTGAAGCTAACTCTTCACTTCTGCCCCTTCTTATTTCAGCTCAGTTTGGTGAAGGGTGGGTGAGACAGCTTTTGAAAACCCCGTCCGCCCGACCCTTGATGCTGTGTTGGGACGTGCACGCAAGCCGCGAGTGTACAACAAAAGGGGACTTGTTTGCAGTGAGTGGTTCCAGTAAGTGGGGGTTGCTTTTGGCGTTGGGCAACGTTTGATGGCGGTTGTGTGAACCTCCGCCATGGTCCTTTGCTTGGCTGTGTTCTTACCCTTGCATGGCTGGTTTGCTGCGCTGGTCCTGGTCGCATTTGTCCCCACTCCATGAAATTGCAAAATTTAGAAGTGGCGCGTCTGGTGCGCAGGGCTCGCTTCCGGTTGGGTTTGGCGCTTAACCTTTCCTAAAAATTGCTAAGCGCATTGTTCCAACTGACAAGCCCAAGTGCTCGGTGAGGAGTGTGGAGTGCTGGGGGCTAATGGGGTGTAAAGGTTTCTGTTTGTTGCTTCAGACCATTGCTAAATCGCGTGCTTTTTGGGGGTGTGCGCTGGGGTGGGGCTGGATACAGCTAGTGTATAACTGTACGCGCAAACCTCTGCAATGTGGTGCATTGCGCTGGTGTTCGTGGTTGGTCGGCCAAGAACACCAAGCCTCTCTCCCACCTAACAACCTGGCATGCTGCCAACATGTCTTGTGAAGTTTGAGCAGCTTGCTGGATGTGGAGCTGGCTGCTTAGTACTGCGCCGCAGCTTTTCCCACCCGCCCACCCTGAGCTGTGGAACAGCTGAGGAAGAGAGAGAGAGAGAGAGAGAGAGAGAGAGGAGAAAGGAAGGCGTGGGTTCCACCCATCCACCATCCACCCGCCCTGCGGTTGCCATCAGGTAAACGTTTCTGTTGGCAGTTGCGGCCCCCCCACCAGCCTGCTGCCCACGCGCGAACGTTGGCGCGCGCGTTCTTCTAGACCGGGGTTTGATATTTTTGATAGGATGGGTGAGTCAACCTTGTGCGAGTGGCCTGGAGGGTGGTGTGGGCGGACGCTTTTGTTCCAAGCCAGTAGCTGTACACGCTTTAGGTAGGGTTGGTTGGTGCTTAGAGCAAAAGGTTTGATAGTCCGGCGAATGAGAGTGCAGACATGGTGCTGGCGCAAGTGCAATGTTCATGAAAAGCAATCACAGAGACCAGCGCCAACGCGCTTGCTCGGGTGCTGTCCAAAGGTGCGCCGAAGACATGGCTGTTTGCTTTTTGGCCCGCCTTGCCTGGGTGACCTGGATGCTGGCCGTGGTCGCCATTGGCATGGACCCTTTTGCGCTTCTTGCGACGCAGCCGGTGGAGTGATATGATTCTGACAGCTATGGGGGCCCACTGCTTTTCTCAAGGTGTGGCAAGCTGGGGTGACGGCGCCTCAGACAGACCCAGCTTTGCTTGACCTATGCAGTTTGTAAACACCTTGAGCGAGTTCTGCTAATCTTCCCAACCCTTCAAGGCCTATGGAAGTTAGGGTCGACTACGACGGTGTGTGAGTGAACGGGCCTTCCCCTCAGCAATTGGTTGCAAGATGTTCAGTGCCAGCGACTAGTTCAAGCTCTGCAGTGAAAGAATTGGCAGAGGACGTGTCTGCGTATCTTGTGCTGAAGGTGTTGCTTGTGGCCAGCAAGGCAGAGAAATTGGAAAAGCTCCTTGCCGAAGGGTTGCGTTGGCTGCTTTTGTGAGATCATGACAGACGTTCCGTTTTGCCCTGCAGGGAAGAGAAGTTGGCTCTAGCAAGTGGCCGACAAAAGCTTCGAGCAAGCAATTCCTAAATGCAGCGACGTTCCAGATGAGCCAGAATGCCCGCCAGCTGTGGGCCGATCCTGTTTCTAAAAGGGAATGTAAAGTGGATGCTAGCTGCTAGTTGTTTGTGATTGAAATGGGGTTTGGGAGGCATATGGCCCCACCTCATTGAGTCATTGAGTATTGAGCGGCAGTTCGTGCTGGTGTATTTTGCGCGTCTGGTCTTGCTTGGCGCGTATAGTTCAGTAGCACTTTGGGAGTCTGCGCTGGGGTGGGGCTGGATACGGCCAGGTACACCCAAACCCCAATGCTACACCCCTGCACCATCCCCTTCGTGCTTTGAAGGTAAATATCGAGGTTACTTATGCTTGTGTGAGCAACACCAATGCCTGGGTTATCCTTCATGCGTTGAAGGTAAATGTTCGTGGCCCAAGTGTGAGCTGCAACAGGGCTTGGGCTGGGTAGAAATTGAAGGCTGTGCGTACTTTTGCTAGCCCTAACACTCACCCTTCTGGTTCTATTTCTCACGCAGCTGAGCCTTGCTTGTGGTTGTGAAGTGAAGTGGCAGCTGCGTTGATTGAAACCACCCTATTCATTCACTCCATGGGTCATCATGCGTCTGCCACTGGTTGGACCAGTGGCAGCCCATGCTTGTGCAGCTATCCCTGACCAGGAAAAAGGGTGCGCCCGGTGCAGACGTTGGGCGGGGTCACTAGAACTAGTTGGGTTGAGCGTTGCTTTATTCTACTTGTAGACGTCGCCTTGTTGAATACCAACCATGTTGAGAACAAACTCATAAGCGCGGACCAGATCACCCTTAGGCGAACCTGCAAGCCCTCACCTCTACGCGCGCGGTTGCAGCTTCAGTGGCAGCTCCTTGCTGGGTGCAGGTAGTTAGTTGACCCCTCTCTCCCCAGTTCTTAGTAACCTATGGCGTAACTGATGTCCTCTGCTAGTCAGACAGCCCAAGATGCTGTTTCCAGCCCTGCAGCTCTTCCCCTTGGCATTGTTGGTCCTTCCAAAAAGGAGTGTGCTTGGAAAGGCAGGGTTGAATGTTTTGGCGCCGCTTGTTTCTTTTTTGTTGGCTTGTGGCGTCTGAGGTTCTCAACCTTGGAGGGCATGCCTGCTGTCATGCTATCTTGGGTTCTTTTGTGGCCTCGTGGTTGAGTCCGTGTTTGTGCCAAATTGGTGCAAGGGTTTCTCATGTGTAAACCATTGCTCCTGCTTTGGTGATGAAATGTTTCTCACCGCCCGCAGTCGCAGCAGCAGTGTACCCATTGTGGTCTTTGGCGACTTTGCGCGCTGTAGTGATTCTTGCGTTGACCGCAGGTCATGTCCCACCCTATCAGCCATTTGGCCCGCGCGCAGCGCGGTGGCCCTTTTGCGACGGGAGAGCTTGAGCACTTCTGGGATGTGGGCCCCAGAGGTTCCCTTGTGAAGGGCGTCCTGATTGGCAGTCGCCTTGCGTCGTGTCTAACAACTGTACACACCTGGACGTTGATGCGGTTCGCAGATGATGTGTTTGACGTTTCGCAGATGTAGCCATCTATACACGGGCAACATGTAAGCGCTTAGGGTGGGTTGGGAGTGAAGCTGCGTAGGGATCAAGAGGCTCGTGTAGTTTTTGGGGAGGCCTGCCACGCGAAAGCTTCTCTCTAACTCACTACCGGCAATTTTAAGCTTCTGCCAGTTGCCTTTGTTGCTTTGGTTTGTGTTTGGGGATGTGTACGCGAGCGTACAACAAACGGGGATTTGCTTGCAATGACTTGTTCCAGTCTGTTGGTTTGACGTTCTGGTCACCATTTTGTTCGAATGCTTGAGTTCAGCCAAGTAGGGTTGCTCAGGAACGTTGCAGGGATACTCTGCATAAGGGAATCACTCCACACCCCAATCCCCTTTCCAGTTGAACATATTGTTCCTTGAGTTCAGGCGCTGCCTTTTGTCTGAACAGGTGTTCTTTGTTCAGGAACTGCGTCCTTGCTTGCACCCTGCCCACCCGCCCCAGATGGGAGCTGTGGTGAAATGTGCGAAGCCATGCGATTCCTTAGGAGTCTATGGCGCCATCCCAATGGATGGTTGTTTAGGGGACCAGGGTTCCACAATTGGTGCCAGGTCTGAGGTGCTCCCAGCCTGGCACCACCCCTTGGACTTGCTGCCAAAAGCCGTGAGCGCTGTTGTAGGAAAGAGAGGGTTTGGGCTAGGAGTGATCATTCGCAAAGAAGCGCGCTGCGCGCGCTTGCGACTCTGGTGGCGTTGCATACTTACTGCTAGGTAGCTGAGTTTGTAGAGGTAGCTGAAAGTTCGCGTAGTGGAAAGTGCAGCTGTTGCAATGAAGGCTAGCTTGCTGCTTTTTTGGTATGCCTTGGTTGTGCTTGCTTGCGGTGAAATGCAAATTCGGCGCGAGGCTGGGTTGGCAGCCCCGAGCCTGCTTGCCCCACAAGTTTTCCAAGATGCAGCCAGTGAAAGCTCAGAGCAGGCAGCGGGATGAAGTCTGCCTGGCAGTAGTTGTTTACTTGCGACATTTTCCGGAGGAGATAGTGCTGCGCGCGCCAGCTGAGGGCGAAGTTGATTTTCATCGGGCTATGAATGCTTTAGCGAAGGCGGCAGTTTCGCGCAGCGAAGGCAAAGCTTTTTTTTATGTTTTTTGGGGCGAGAAACGCGGCAATGCGGCGCGGAGTTGGTGCACTGTGTTTTTGCAACCTGCCCTTCCAGGCACAGATGCAGACAGGGAAGGAGAGGAGCGACGCGAATGAAGCACGTTGGCAATCCCTGCTCCAAACAGAATCCGAAGCAGTGCGACGGTTGGTCGCAGCGGCGTTCAAATGATTTGAGCCGAATTGCACGAAAGCAGCCCCAAGATGCTGTCCGGACACGCGACCGCCTGGAAACGGGCGTGCGAAGCCAGTCGAAAGCAGATCTTGAGAATGTCATGCGAGTCAACCGTTCAGGGCAGGGTCAAAAGACCTACCTAGCTGATCCTTGTTGGGTTGCGCACGCTTACACCGATGGGGATAGGCGAATCTTGATGAGGGGGAATTTAAGATTTTGAATTGAATTTGGAACCTAATCCTCGAGGGCGCGTCGTGGGTTGGGACCCTCTTTTGATGCGAGTGTGGGCCCTCGTGTGGTGTCCCGCCCGCCCACCTCTCGATTCTCGATCTTTTCTTGCCTTTGCGCGATTTAGGAGGCCTCTGGACTCTGGATCCTGTCTCAAGGTTCTCTTGGCGGATTTGCTTACCTGGATTTGCTTGCCTCAACTTGTGTCTATTGAGAGAACGGAGCCCAGCTCTGAAGATGTTTGGACTAGGGTTTGGTGTCACCGGCGAACCCGAGGCCTCTGGGCACCTTTCTGACTTCGGTCCTTTGTTGTGTATTTTAAGGCTCAGGTTAGTGAGGTGTGTGAACCCATTCTTTTTTCGCAGTGGGGAAATTGAAACCCTTTTAGTTCATGCGTTTTGTTTGAGAGACAACGTGCGTGTGTTTGCTTTAGAGCAGCGCTTTGCTTGTGATGTACCGGTGTTCGCGGTTGGTCGGGGTAGGCAGGAACACCAACCCTCTCTCCCACCTAGCATTAATGTGTACCTTGTCAGTCTGGACAGCTTGCTGGTAACAGGAGCAGCTGCTCCCTGGTTTAAAGTTTGGTGCTGTGCCACACAGCTTTTCCCCCCCGCCCACCCTGAGCTGCGGAGCAGCTAAGGAAGAGGGAGGGGAGAAGGGATGCCTGTTGGCAGAGTCCTGCATGGATGGCTTGTCCCTTCATCTTGCAAAAGGTCGGCGCGCCTGCTCTAGGTTTTGTAGTTCCTTGAATGGTAGGATGGGTGAGAGGTGATTGTCTTTTGTCGCCCTCGCCTCTCTAAAACTAGGGGTGTGTGTTGTTGCCCTCCATACTGATGCTTTGTCTTGAACATGTTGGTGTTCTGTGCGCCAAAGACCCGTGGGCTCAGACCTCAGGCTGCCAGTTTCTGACAGTGGAGAGACATTGTGAGTTCTCGTTGGCTTGATTATGGAGGAGTGAGCCACGAGGCCATTCGCCTTCCTTCTTTCCAGGCTTGGTGTTCACAGCGACGGAGAAAAGGAAGAACTGTCAAGAGCTTGCCAAGATGAAGCAGAGCTGCTTGACATGCTTCTTGATTCTGCCAAGTGCTGCTTGGGCAATACTGCGCCGTGCGCCAGCCTTGGATGATTTGCAGGAGATGTTCCGCCTGATTGGGTAGCCATGTCGGAGCAGCTTTTCAAATTAACGGGTTTTGTGTTTGTACCGGAGTCTTGGTTTGGGGCTGTCCAAAACGATTCATTATGGTCCAATGATTCACGCATGGCAAATGCTTCGGCCTGGAAGGAGCTTGCAAGCAGCGCAGAAGCAGCAGGGAGTTTGTACAGGAGAGTGTAACGCTGCAGCGCTGCTGCTCTTCTGTTTGGCGTCGATTTTTGGAGGCAGCGAGCGGCAGAACTACCTTCCTTTGACGATGGCCTAAAAATGATTCATGTGGACACTGCCCGGCAGATTTCTAATCTGGCGCGGATAAGGAACGCATAAGTTGCCCTGGATGCCCACGTAAGATGTGTTTGCGCAGCAAGCAGAGAGACTTCGCGAGATTGATGACGCAGCGATGGTTTGCCCAAAGTGATCTTGAGCCCGCGAGCAAGCCTGCGTTGCCGGTGTCAGGCCTCGTCTGCTGCGTGTGGAAATTGCGTGAAAGAGTATGGCAGCCCTCACCCATAGAAGCGAAGGAAGCAATTCGTTTTGCTGCCCAGCTACAAACAAGAATGTCCCAATGTATCCGGCCAACAAAACCTGTCCGCGCTGCAGCGTTTTGTTTGGCCTCTTGCTTGCAGGGATGGACAGCCGACCGCGACCTGCAGAAGTGCAGAGCTATGGTCTACGAAGGGCCTTGCCCATCCAGCGCAAGTATTGCAGGGTTCAGCGCTGAAGACAAACAAGATCTTGAAGTAACCTGTGACGCAAGGGCTTGGAGCCAAGAGTGCTCTGTATGCTGAGCTGAGTTGTTGCTTGTGGCTAGGTGTGCTTTTGCAAAATGGTGGGTGAAACAGTTCGCGCTCCCGTATATTCAAGCCAAGCCGGTGCAGTCGATAGCAAGGGCGCAGGCGAGCTGGGGGGTCGTAGTGGAAATACTTTGCCCAACGGCCCCATCAAATAGCGAAATCGGGAAAGTTGCAAGTGGCAGCCATTGATTGCCTTTGAGAGTGGCGCGTGGCGTCTCAAATATAGCAAAGAAGGCAAGGCCCCATGACGTGTATCAGGGGCCGTTGAAGAAATCAATAGCAGTTTATTGTTTTTACAGTAGTGAGATGGCGACCGGTAACGAACATCCTTGTTTGATTGCTTGATGGAACTTTTGGTTTTGCCAATTATAAGTGACCGGGGACCTTGTTGTTGTGTTGCTCCTGTGGCTCCAGTGTGTACTTTTCTCCAACCCAACCCGCCCTGTGCGTGGCAGGGGTGTCGCGTGTGGGCGACCGGGGGTCTATGCAAACGCAGGTCTGCCCCGCAATATCAATTTACCGCCCCGTTTGCCCGCTTCGGCTGTAACGTCTAAAGAGGATGCGGTCAACCTTGAAGGGATGGGATTCTGGCGCTGTCAACTTTTGCGACTGATCTGTTATATACAAGACACTATAGTTTCGATTCGCGGGATGGGAGGTGCAGGAGTTGACTGGACACGAGGTGATGACCAGCGACCACGTGCTTTTTGGGCTTCCCTGGCAGCTTGTTTGCTTGTACCGGTGTTCGCGGTTGGTTGGGGTAGGCAGGAACACCAACCCTCTCTCCCACCTAGCATGCATCTAATTTTTGTGTTTGATTAGTTGGAGCAGCTTGCTGGGTGTCAGGAGCGGCTGCTCCCTGGTTTAAAGTTTAGTGCTGTGCAACAGCTTTTCCCACCCGCCCACCCTGGGAATTGCCCAACGGGCAAGCTAGGGGATTTGAGAGCGTTCAAGTGGGGGACTGGTCTTGGCAGGTCTTCCCCTTAAGGGTTTCTGTTATAGATTTTTAAATAAGGAACCAAGGGTGAAACCTCATGTACCTGACCAGGTTAGCAACGGCAACAGGATTGTTGCCTTCACCAGGGGATTCTGGTTGTTAGCAGCTCCAGACGCGAGAACAACAAAGAGCGCCGGTGTCCGTCAAGTCGAACGGGGAGGGCGATCGGCTTTTGGTCCTAAGTTTGTAGGGTGGGCGGTTGCTTCTTCTTTTGGTGCCACGCAAACGCGGTGAGATCCCGGGCTGTGGAGCAGCTAAGGAAGAGGGAGGGGAAAAGGGAAGCCTGTTGGCAGAGCCCTGCATGGATGGCTTGTCACTACATCTTGCAAAACAAGGTCGGCGCGCCTGCTTTGTGTTGTAGTTCCCAGCTTGATAGGATGGGTGAGAGGAACGTTTTCCATCATGTTCCTTTCTTGACTCCACCTCCACACGGCGCGCGCATAAGTGTTGGACATGAACGGGTGGACGGGTGGACCTGCTGCTAGTGGCCCAATCATGGTTTTACATTTCCACGATGGGCAGCTCCCGCGCCCTAACGTTTGTCTGAGCCAGCGATTACAGCGTAAAGTCAATCACCCATCCGTATGTGTCGGTGTTGTGCAGGACAAGCGTCCATCTGAGGGTCTGTTGCCCCTGTGTTTTGCAGGCTTGCCGCCCTACGGCGTGCTTTGGGTTAGGCGCATGTGGGCATAATTATCAGCTACGCCCATGTGGTAGTTGGTTCGCTTTGGTGGCCAAATGGGGTACCGGTGTTCGCGGTTGGTCGGGGTAGGCAGGAACACCAACCCTCTCTCC